ATTATATTTTGGATTTATGGTATAAATTGATATATAAGATTATTTTTAAATCAAAACGAATAAACAGGTTAAAAACATCACGCATGTACATAATGAAAAAATGTATGATATTTGTAATGATTGAAAAAAAAATAAAGGTGTGTCAAATGGTTGTCCAAATTGTGGTCCGAATCGTTAAAATATTAATATTTTTTAATAAATTTATTATAAAATAATATTTTAATTTAAATTATTATTTTAATCGTTCGGAAAGAATTTCGGGATGCTGAATCACATTCCACGGCTAATTTATCTCAAAGATGATATGGTTCCGAAAATTCCAAATCCACCACAATCCAATTGCCAAACTTGTTGCATTTGGATGATTAACCAAGTTTTTGAGCCACAATAGACAACTCATAACAGAAAAAAAAGATGATGAAATATTAGTTATTTGCATGCAAATTTAGTTTGAATAAGGACAACCACACAACATATAATATAGATTTTATCCATGTGAACATTTCATGCAAGCTCCACTTAAAACTAAATTACTTCATAGTTAAATCTCATTAACTGAAAGGGCATTATGCAGACATTGGCAAAGAAAGAATTTCGTCTTCTCCAGTATAGACAAACCTCCAAAGACGTTTCCATTATGAAGTTTTTGCAACCTATCATTCCACACATAATGATTTGAATCTTATTGTTGCAGTATAATTATACAATATATGGATCACTCATCCAGTTAAATGTGTCAATTCCTGTCGGATTCATAAGTATATGCATTTGTAAAATGCAACCCACTAGCTCATAAGGAAGTAATGTGTATAAATTATTCAAGTTCCAAGAATCCTTATGCCAGCATTTAACAACTTTGATCTCAAAATCTTTAATGTATACATAAAGAACCAACTCACATAACGGCCTACTCCCAACCAATTTTCATACCAAAAAGAGGAACTTCTTGAATCATGACAATGAACAATCATTGCTCACACATAGGATTATCCATGTTGTTCTATCCCAACTAGCACCATGTTATATAAAATATTAACTATTAAAAAATTGTTAAAATAAAACTTATTCAAAAAAAATCTCATACTTTTAAAGTGAATATATGACACAACATGCATCAGGCCTTATTATAAAATGCAATTATCCAAACTAGTCTATCAATCTCAAGCAAGGTTATGCACTAGTAAAATATATTGGGTCATGTCACCCTTAAAAGCTATCAACCAAGATATATGGTAATACTTTATAATATACATGTCATGTTTTAATTTAGATATAGAAAAGGAGAGAAGAAGAAATAGTAATTTCAATTTATTTATAAAAACAACATGCATAGAACAATGTATAAAATATTTTAACGTACAAATTCCAGTCCTTTATCTAGGCCTAGGCCCGCCCAGGTCGACCCTGTTACCACTTGCATGCATGACGAGAGAATTTTTCATCAGTTACCCTTGTGTGTATTTGGATTTATAAAGTTTGATTAGATACCACAATATATCTGAATATATACCATGTTTGGAAACACTATAGCAACGAAAAAGAAAGAAGAAAATCGCGTCTACTTTTTGATAGACAAGAAGCTACCCTTAAGAGTGCGTAGCTTCCATGTGAACGTAGGAATCCATGCACGTTGCTAACCTGTAAACAAACATGCAATAATTTACTTGTTGAGTTAATTAATTTAAGGATTTTGACGTGAATATATACCCAAATTGTGAATCATGGATTAGTTTCTTTAGTTCCAAGTCCACAAACAAAGACTGGCATGCAATGCATGCACAACCTAAAGCTAATAATATTAGTTTTTACGTCAAATTCAAAATACATGTCAGGATGAGACCAAGTAAACCTCCTGGTTTTTACGTAATTCGTAATGCAAAAGAAGCTTATTTTTCAAATTACGAGGCCAAGTAAATTACGTATGTATTAGAAAGATAACTAGGCTCGAATTCAAGAGATTAAAACGATATTTAAAACAAAATACATTTAAGTTTAAAACAATATTAATTAGGCCAAGTAATAAGTAATAACGTATTAGCTCCCTGTATTATTATTATTATTATTTTTAATCAGCTCTGTATTATTATTTTTATTTAATCTTGTAAGAGGTTTTTCTTTATATCACTTACATAATCCCTCGACTTTGAATAATTTGAAAATTTTAGAATCGGTCTGGTTTTACCTTTTTTCTATTTTTATTTTCAAATAAAATAGAAAATGAGTACAAAAATGTGTTTTCTTTTAATTTTTTAAAATATTTTCTTTAAAAATATTTTCAAAAGAAGTCAAAATTTGAAAATGAAAAAATGTCATTTTTACTATTTTTTGTACCTTTGAAAACACGGTGGCATGTGATAATAATTATTAAAAAATTTACAAACTTACTTCTAAGCTTTTATTCTTGCACACATAATTTAATAGACTTTATTTTTTTATACATATAATTCAATAGATTTGTCTTATATTTTCTTTTGTGTGTATAAAAGTTTTATTTGGTGTTTGCATATATATTATATATATTAATATATTGATATTATAAGATTTATTAGATATGATTATTCTATATAATTTTAATTACATGTGTTTTTTATATTATTTATTTATTTTAATTAAATATTATTATTAAATATGATTAATATTGAGTGTGATTAAGTTTTGGGTTGCTATATTTGAAGAT